CTATCTATATATCTATATATATCTATATCTATATATCTATATATCTATATCTATATATCTATATATCTATCTATATCTATATCTATAGATATAGATATAGATAGATAGATATTGTAGTGGATAAACAACAGAGGAAAGCCGTTGTGGTAGATGTAGCAATACCAAGCGATTGCAACATCAGGAAAAAGGAGCACGAGAAACTGGAGAAATACCAGGGCCTCAGGGAAGAACTGGAGAGGGCCTGGAAGGTGAAGACCACAGTGGGCCCTCGGGGCAGTAACCCCAAACTGGAGCAGTGGCTACAACAGATCCCAGGAACAACATCAGACATCTCAGTCCAGAAATGTGCAGTCCTTGGCACAGCCAAGATACTGCGCAGGACCCTCAAGCTCCCAGGCCTCTGGTAGAGGACCCGAGCTCAGAGGATAAGAACCACCCGCGGTGGGTGAGAAGGGAATTTTTTATTTTTTATTTTTTTTAGATATAGATATATAGATATGGTGAATAATCCATCCTTTTGAATTAAAGGATCACACAACAATGTTTTTCAAGGATAAATGTACATTAACACTGTGGTTTATCTTGCTTTTTTTTTCTAATATATAAAGCAAAAATAATAGCTCAAAAGCAATGAACCATTGTCCATTTTGAAACTGAATGGTCTCCCTTAATTTAATGACTGCTGCAAACAATATTTTGTTTACGTTTGGCAGAAATGATAAACGAGGCAGAATTAAGAGAGAAAAGATTGCACAGTCAAATAGAAAGAGATGTCTGGCCCATAATTTAGGTAAGCAGTCACACAGAACACTGCAAGTAAAGTAAACTACAATAGTGGAACGTAAATTGTAGATAGTGACCATAATTTTTCACATCACCCAAGGCTGGATCTCAGCAAATAAAGCACGAGCTTTTAGGTTGGGAAGTAGCGACAATCATAACTCTATGGAATGCACAGGAAAATGCCACAGCGATTGACAGATTGAAATCATGCAGCATGCAACACATTCCTTCATTGTGTCATTCCAAGGATGTCACACAGCTTAGTCATGAAGGTATCCAGTGATTTGTCTGATAACTGAAACTGCGATGACAAGGCGTCTTGGAATGTCTGTGACCAGAGTATCAGGAATTTCATTACCGATGTTCATTGACTTACTGTAACACACTTAGCTTCTTAGCCCTCTATAATTACAGCAAGAATTTTTTTTTTCATTCAAGAAACCAATGCAGATATTCACTTTATATAAAGCAGCAAAGCTATAAATCTAAATAAATAATACTACAATATTTTATTTTTATTTAGTCTGATCATGTTATAAGTTCTGTCATCTCTCTTACTGTGCTGCAGGACTTGGGCAAAAGATGTCGGCAGACTCAGCAGGAAAAGCTGTTGGCCCACACAGTGAAGTAGTTCGTAAGTGCAAGTGCAAAACTAAGTTCACCTCATGATCCAAAAGCTTGTCTTTGTCAGTGGATCACATTGTCGTGGAGAAATTTTGGACCAATGTTGATAGTTAATAAACAGCTTTTCATCAGCAGCACCTGGCTGTTTTTTTTTATTTTTTATTTTTATTTATTTATTTTACCTTTTTAGGCCTGTAGAAACAGTTTTTCCACAGATAGCCTGTTCAGTTTGGCGACATTTTTCTTGAATAATTACAACGTGGAATTTTACTTATTTATGTCTTTGTTCACCTGAGGTAATGTTAGATCATTTCAGAGCCTGGGAAAGACCAACAGATTTGAATCACGTCCTGTTATGAAACCTATCGAGATGGAAACCCTAAGCAGACAGACTCGGTAAACTATTTATCAGAAAAAGAGCAAAGGGCAAAGAAACTTAGCCTCTTGAAATACAAAGCCTAAAGACACAACCCCAGACTTGCAGTTGGAACAGAAATGTAACTGCAATCTACAGTGTTGACTCCGAGGGTTTAATACAAATACAAGTGTGGTGGGGTGACGTAGGAGAGGCTGAACATGCAAGAAACTCCTTATTTAAGAAAACTCTTCACTTATTCTTGAGGAATAGAAATCCTCAAGAATAAGTGAAGTGCAGAAAAACTACTAACAGTACCTTGTTTTCTAATGCTTATTTCAAGTATATGTAATTAGTCACTACCCAACTAAATTTTATATATATGTAAATAATTCACTTCACAATTATTTACCACATAAAACACATTGAAGTGGGTTGTAATGTGAGAAAATATAAAAAGTCTCAATGTCTTTGAATAGTTTTGGAAAGCACAATGACCTTTATGTTTACAGTCAAGACACGTGGATTTTTCCATTGCACACTGCTAAATCCCGCAGGGGCCATAAGTTTCACATGGTGTTACACCAAAGCTCTCACTGGGACGATAATTTGCAAAGCTGTCGGGTTGTTCTCTTTGGTTCACCATTGCTAAGGACGTGTGTTTTCTATTCAATATGTGAGCACGACAGTGCTCTGAATAAGACGGAGGCTGGCTGGAAGTGGATGCTTTGGAGAGGACCCATCTGTCCCTTCCTTCCATCCCAAAGAGCCTCCAGCTTCAACTGGGCCAAACAGGCAGAGTCCAGTCGGCCATCAGTTGACCATGTACGTGCACCAGGGGCCTCGTCGGCGAGATGCCGAATGCTCTAATGAAGCTTATGCTGTTTGTCTACTTTTCTGCATGGATGCCAACATCACAGCATGCCAGGAGGGCTGTGAGTCACGCTTCCTGACTGGAAAGCCACAGACACTTGCTTCCAGGGGTGCTTAGGGAGGGGTGTATCCTGTCCCACAGAACGCTGGGACTGCAGCATGGCATTATGGCGAGAACAAAACAACACAAGGCCAGAACAAGAAGGCCTTGTGGGCAGAGAGAACACCATCACAAGGCTATGACATTTCAGGATGGCTGTAGTGCTAACAACACCTTTTGTTTTCCGCTGGTTATCGAAATTGTGAACACAGACCTGTGTGGAGGAGAGAAATTGCCGTGTCATTAAGCTACAACGAGCACATCAGTGGAGAAAATGCCCATTTAACATGGTGACACTAATGCATTTATTTTCAGTTATCATCATCTTACAGACTTTATTGTAAAATGAGACATGATTCAACATGGCAGGTATAATTACAAAATGCAAATATGAGCAATGGGGAGAAGAACAGCAGAGCTTTCCACTGGTAGGGTAGATTAAAGATTGCAGTAATTGCAATTCTGCCATAATTAGAAATGTAGTGCTTTGACACAAAGAGCAGACATGGTGGCTCACACACAACATCTCTGATATCTTCTTGACAATGAGCAAATACCCAGAACATTAATCAATACGTAATTGCATTTCTCGTATTTTTTACGTCTATCAAACTACTTATTGATTGTTATCATGTCACTAACTTATTTGCAGCTCTTTGATATATAAGTTATGGGGAAAACTAAGACACCCCATTGAATGTTCAGGTTTGTGTTAAGAAATACAATAAAACGTTATTTAAAGGGGAATACATAAGCCTGATGTGACGCTGTCAGAAACATAACACATATCATGGAAATGAAGGAATCTTCATGAATGTTTATACTGTTGTCATTACTTGGTTAATAATGACACTTCTAATGGAAAGTTGACACATTTAATGAACTTTCAATGCAAGTTTTTAATGTAAGTTTTTTAAAGTGTCAAATAAGGCGTCATGGAAATGCACCACCGTGCGACAAATACACTTTTAATGCAACTTTTAATGTAACTTTGAATTACAAATATTATTTGCCAAATGACACTTCATGGCAACAGTCCTAAACACTCATAAAGACCCCTTCATGTTCATGAGAGGTGTTATGTCATGTTTTTGACAAAGTCATATCAGTCTTATGCACATCCATTCAAATAAAATGTTACCAGAAATACTAACTTTGTCTCATCTTTGATTGCTTTCTATTTATCTAGAAACTGGATACATTTCATTTCAAGTAAAAATAAAGAAACTAACCCCGCTTTACCCAATAAGGTAAGAGTTTAAGTGTTGCATGTACAACCTCTCCCAAATCACCAAACTATGAAATCAGGATATCAGGTTTAGCTTAGCTCAGGGCCTTCTTTCTTGTTGGATTTGTCTTTGTTATTTTTCTTGTTTCAGTTCTGTTTCAGCTTTAATATTTTTACAGATGATCTTACATTTTTCTCAAGTACATGGCTGAACTTAGGATGAATTTAATGGTGAGCTGGCCAGATTCTGAAACATCCACAAACCATGAAACTTCTCCATCCATTCTTCATAGCTGGTATGTGTTTGCTGGAACGGTGTATTTAATTTTAATGTGTCATCTGTCCTTCTACATCAATATTTAATCAACCCTAAAACTTTGATAGTAACAATTCTCTTCCTGATCTTTGTCTATGAATTCTCTCTTGTTAACTTCAGTCGGGTTCCTATTTGCACACGTACAGTAAAAGTCTAATCTGCACAGCCTCTTTTTGTAGAGGCAGGCACTATCATTCAAACTGTAGCAAAATTCTACTGTAGGTCCAATGACGACACTTTTAGGTATTTGAAAACCACATTTAACATCTTGCAGCCTGCTTTCAGGTGACTTGCTTAGACAAACAGACCTGAGGATGTTGGTAGTTGTTTTGAAGGAGACTTTTGAAAATAGTCTCCAATCAAAGATTAGACAAATTTTGTATTTCTGGTCTGCAAAAAAAGTTTGTATTTCTTGGAGACCATTGAAAATAGTCCAATGTAATTTCAATAATTACGTTTTTTGAGACTTGTTTAAATCCTTCACCGGGTTCATAAGCTGTGACCATATTCTTATCATTGGCTCCCAATGTAATACACATTTGGAGGCCAATGTGTGAGAGATTTTCTCACATGGCAATGATAAAAAAGTGTGGTGCTCTGTGTAGTTTCAGAAGCCATCATGTTTCTTTTATGGTTTTAGACCTCAGTATAACAATGGTGAAACTAGTGTTTCAGGTTTAGCTTTATAAACACAATAAATACACTCGAATCTGATTCCTACCCATCCCTGTTGTCCTCTTCATCAGGGTTGGAGATGAGCTGGGAACCAGCCAGAGATATGTCCAGGGCTGCCAAAGGCAAGTCTCTGTAGGTGAAATTGACTAGCTGGACTGGAGCCACGCACTGGTTGTCGTCCTCCACCTGTTGGGAGATGACCTCCAGATCCGAGGCTCCACCCTGGGGAGGAGCTCTGTGACACAAACGGTAGATCACAACCAAGGCAACAACACAGTTAGGGTGATGAATGAGTCATATTATTTTTTTCATTTGAACAAAGATGAACTTAAACATTTTGTATTTAGGTTTTCAACATCTCCGGTGGCATGGAGGTTATACCAGTGATTGCTCATGAAATTCAAGGTTGAACTGTAGTTACAGAAAAATAAAATCAAGCCTTGACATATTCAAGGCTCTTAGTTTATCTAAATTTTTAGAGAATACTTCGGTTTTTTTTTGTTTTAAATGTGGCTTAATTTGTGTTGAATAAATTATGATATTATAGTATTTGTTGTGGGTTTGGTTTTCTAAAAATTAGACTTCATTTTGCAAATATATTTTTAAGGTTAAGCCCCTAAAATTGAAAGTGGGTGTACTCCTCTTTTTACTACTGTATAAATGTTGTTAATGCAGACTATCCAAATCCAAGTTCTACATAATACATAAAAATAAACTCAAAACATTAACCAGATAAATACTGATGACCAATGGAAACTTGTTTGTAGGACACATAAAGCGAAAACATTTGCCCAGAGAGAAATGATAATCTGACATACATGATTAAATGCCAAAATGCTATAAAGACAAGTCTTTCAATTGAAGATTCAGCACGACTTCTTCACAGAACCATTGTTAAACAGTCACGCGAACTAGACTGCTTACATTAGTTGACCAAAACCGAGAAATGGCATTGCACTTCTCTCTCATTCACAATTTAATTTTTTTAGATTCATCTTCTTTGAGAAGAGATGTAAGCTAAATTTGGCAGAACCCGGCAAAGTATCATTCTGTCTTCCACTGAACTTGAGTACATAGAGAGGACTGCAATCCAAGTGGCTCAGCCAATGGCGAGCAAGGATAAGTCACCCTGGAACAACAGACACACATTGCTTGGCAGCAATCCCAGAGCAGCCAGCATGGGAACATCAATAACTGGAGTACTTATCAGTGGAGGAAGGCATTGATTACAAGACAGGGAGAACAAAAGCCAAAGGGGTTGGTGGATTTCGCAACTTCTGTGATAGAGGTGACGCAGTAGAGAAACAACTGGTTAGAAGATGATCACTGAGCAGACTGGAAAGGAACATTTGCAACATGGCAAATCAGAAATATTTGCTTCTCAAACTTAGCTTATTGTTTAGCCCTCGCAACATGAAATGCCTCACCGTTTTCTTGTTGCCTCTATTGTAATGCTAGTGGAGCTATAATTGCATTTTTCAGCTTGAGGGTCAAACATGAACAAGGCACAAAATGTGCCTTTGCATCCCAATTTTATCCATGGAGCTGGCACCTCTGACAAGCTGCAACAAGGACACTAATCATTTATGACAGACACAAACTGTTTAGTGCATCAATATCACATTTTTAGACAGTCGTGGAGAAGGCCAGGAGCAATTGTGTGCGGAGCCCAGGATAAGATGGCTAATTGCCATCCCGAGGTGGGAGCAGGCGCTTCCCGTCTGAAGACATTGTGAAGTAGTCTGCTCAAGGCTAAGCTGTTTTCAGACAAAAAAACAACAACAACAAAAAAACCCAGAAAATTGTTTTTAGCAGTGAATGACCCAAGAAATAAAAAAGGTTGACGGCTTTAGGAACAGGGTGTACAACCTATATGCCTGGGCACCTTAAGCAAGAGGTCCTAATTACAAACCTAGCACACATTAAATGATCCTGTTGTTACAGCCATGTCAGAAATGTCCTCATTTATGACTTGTGGTGTCCCCAGAAATAAAGTGATTCATTTGTTATTCTTGAATGTTTTTGTGGCAAAAGCACATATGATTATATAAAGATCAGTGTTGCAGCAGCTTGTCCTAATGTAGCAGGATGCATGACTAATATCCTTAATCTGCAGGGGACTTACTGTGACCAAAGAAACTAATCTAATTTTTAAAAAAGACAAAGAGAAACAAACTGCACAAATCTAGGTTGCAACCAAATCTAAAAATCTGAAGTATCCATGTATTTGAAATGTAAATCTTTATTTCTTCTTGTTAGAAATATTTGATACCCCTGAGAAAAGAGATAAACACAACCATGTTTTTTTTATTTATATATCTAAGTTTGAAAACACTTAATTCAACAGTTTATATTGGTATGGAAATTTACATAAAATTTTCAGCTTAAGCAATAATTATGCATTGATACATTTTATGTTAAATAAAATGTGAACAGAAAAATTGAAAGACTGCTCATTAATATGGGAATATTGTCACAATCTTTGTCTCACAAAGCAACGTCTATTTACTGTCAAAGCTCTGGAAATGAAAGAGACCACTTTAAGAGTGGTGAACTGTAGAGTTACTGTGCAGAGAAAAAAACCATTTGCCTCCCTTGCAAATTTCTTTTGCATTATTGGCACATTTAAATATCTGAGGCCATTAAACAACTTTTAATATCAAATATAGTACTGAGATGATCTTTAAAAAATAGCAATTTTGTTTAAGTAAAAAGAAAAGACAAAACTATGCAAACTATCTGTATCCTAATCAACATGTCTGTGGGCAATTGGCCACTTGTTGTACAACAATCACAATTTACTTACAAAATGGTTTACATTTGTAATTAGAACATTGTTGTAGTTTCTTATCTAGACTAAAAGTACCATTCACATTAAATATTCTTTTTTTTTTTTTGACTGTAGGAAACAAGAAAAATTATCACCAAGAATTTATTTGTGTGGCTTTTGGTTATTTACGTTTTGGTTTTTGTGTGGTGCTGCCATCAGTCACGTAAATGGCCATGTATTTAAATTAGTTTAACTATTGTACATTTTATTTCATTATAACTGCAAACCTTTTCTATTTTTTGGGAGAGGGAGTGGAATGTGATACCACCTCAAAATAATTTCATTAAGAATTACGAAAAAAAAAATGCATGATTTATTCCCGCTCCCCCCCAAAAATAGATACATGGATTTATATTCAGTCTCTTTTACACTAATATTTATAAATAAAACTCAGTGCCACCAACTGCCTTCAAGAGTTACAAAATTAGCAAATGAAGTTCACCCGTGTGTAATTTAATAGAACAAATCCAGATGTTCTATGAAGGCTTGAGTTTTGTTAAAGAAATGTAAGACACAAATAGCACAAGTAAGACCACAATGCTCAGCAGACGGGTCAGGATAAAGTTGTGAAGAGATTTAAAGCAGACCTGGGCTATAAAACAATGTCCCAACTTTGAACAGCTTACCCAGCACTGTTTAATCCATCACAGAACAAATGAAGAGTGTGTCAATTGCAAACCTACCAAGACATAGCGGTTCACTTAAACTCACAGGCCTGGCAAGGAGAGCATTTATCAAGGAGCTGCAGAGATCTTCAGCTCAGGAACAATAAATCTGGCAATAAGACAATCCTGGTTGTTCACTTCACAAATGTATTAAAGGTTGGCAAGAAGAAAGCAATTGGAAACCATTTGAGTCAGCATCAAAGCAGATTTCTGACACTTTAAAACAATTACGTTTGTAAAATATTAAATAGGGCTTTATGCAAGACCTTAAAACTTTTCCTACCACTGCCAGTATTTTATTATATGTTTGTTCACATCTGATGTTAGTAACCATTTATGACCATTGAGTCTTTAGTGGTTGTTCACAATTAAGACTATGTTGGTCTGAACTCCATTATCAACACCTTTTGATAAAGGCAGGACTGTTCACTGTGACCCGGTGGAATAGCTGTCTACTGCAACAGTGAAAAGGTGTGTTATTAGCAGTTTTCAGCATTTCTAGCAAATATCATTTTAAAACAATTATCGTTAGAGACAGTTTATCTTGCTTGGTATGCCATTCTGTTTGCAAAATTTGCTTCATTAAACATTTTGAGTACAGACCTCAGAACAACGATACATATCAACTTCTGCATTTAAATACCCACTGAATGCAAAATTGGTCATGGAATAAAATGTTGGTTTTTTAACGAAGTTTTCTAAAATAGCATTGCCTGAACCATAATGACCTTTTGAGATTGGAATCTCAAAAGGTTTTTGATGTTTGGGGTGGCAAAACAACACAAAAAACCTTGGAACTCACATTAGCATATAGCTCAACCGTACAAACCTAACTTCCGTTTTGTAGAGTAAGATTGCAGATAATTCGGCAAAATTTAAACATTTCTGTTAAAAGCAAATGCTATTGACGTATGTATCTGGTGGGAAGTCAGTTCCACAAGGCTGGGTACATTCGTTTGTTGTGCTTACTGTCTACCTAAAGGTGTAGAACAGGCTAGGGGACATATTTAAAATAAACTAAAGGGCTCAGATTATGTTCGCACGTTCTTTCTGCTCACTGGAGTATGTGGAGGAATGATAATCTGTGACACTGAGGATTTCGTTGCAGTAACATGAGGGCTTGACAACACATCAGAGACAGAAAACAATCATATTAGTCTTGCTTGTTTACAGGTTTATTTGACAATCAGTTAAAGCTTAACAGCAGTAAATACTTAACATCATGTCTTTAAGGTAATGTCCATTTAACGAGATGCCATAATAAATTTGTAAGATCTTGTGAAGCACACATGACTTCTTATTCTAAAGTTGTTTTTAAACTTCTAATATCACTCTGAAGTCAATTTCCAAACTTTATTTTTAATTTGTCATGCAGTTTGGTGTTTTATGTTTAGAGGTAGCATTCAAAGCTGAGCAAAATTGTGATTTCAAAATTATTAGTAAAAGTATCGCAATTTTCAATTCAATTTGTGCATGGGCTTTGTACAGTAAGGTTTCAAAGACATTTGAGCTTTTTTTTTTTTTTAAATCAGACCACTTCATTTTATTTTTATTGATAACAACAGTAAATAAAAAATGTGCTTTTCAAGTTATTCCATTTTATAAGGAAAATAATTTCTACAAACAAACTGGCACAATCTGGAAAGTTAACGGGTACAAATTATAATTAACTGTGTCACTTCTATGGTTTCATTTAAGTCACCTAAAGACTTGCAGCTCTGTAGAATCCCAACACAAATCACACATAACCTGTCTACCAACATAAAGAAGACTAAACAATCTCCAAAGTAACATTGTGCCCCAGTCTAAAGAGATGCAGCAGGTCTTTATGGTATGTTTTTGCTTAAAATTATGGATAGAAAAATATAATGCATATTATGACAACTTTCTGTTTGTTAACTTTTGGAAAAGGATGTGCTGTCCTGATTTATTTTCTTGCGGTGCTAAACCAAACTATGTGAAAAATCCAGATCTAGATGAAATCTTCTTGGTAACACTCACAAAAGAATGCAGTCTGTTTGACTTGTGTCACAGTCACCAATTCATTTCCAGGCCACTTCAACGAGAATCATGCCAACATTTCAGCCCAGTGGCTGAGCATGCTCTGATGAAGGCCAGTGGGATGAAATGCCTGGTTTTCTTTGAGAGATCTGTTAATGTGACCCTGAAGTCCTATGTGGTTTATATCGAGAAGTTGTCCCCTATCTTGGTCACTTTCTGTCATTTCCATGCAAATGTTTTGTCTCAGCTTCAGCTTTATAAACCAACTGTTAAATAATCAAAAGCAGTGATAAAATGCTGGTGGGAAGCTTAGACAAAAGGCCCGATTGGCTCCAAGCAGCATCCTGCGCTTTGCAGAAGATGCAGCTGACTGAACACACTTTGCATTCACCTCTCACTCTGCTCCACACTACTCCACTTCGCTTCCTCCAACTCAGCTCCCTCCCCTTTCCTCTTTCCCCAGCCTTAACCTCCCTATAATCAGAATGCGGGGCTTGTCGGAGGGACCACACACACAGAGTAATTATTAATAAGAGAAGATGACATGTGAACATCCCTCCTGAATGGTAAGTGAAGCTGGCACAGGTTTGCTGCGCTCGCAGTCTCAAAAGAGCTTTCCCAGAGATTCCTACTCATGTGAAGGTCAAGAAAAAGTAGGAATCTCATTCTACTAATCTCAGTATTAATGTCTCATTCACCTGGATTGCTTAAATCTTAATATTTTGCCACGTTTTATACTTACTGGGTATTGCTCATGTCTTGTTGCTGCGAATATGTCTTCTTTAAATGAAGCCAGGAGCTAAATCCACCACTGCAGAGATGTGGTCAGGACCATATCTACAGATAAAAGACAAGCAAAAGTACAACAAAAAATTATAACACAACAATAACCACAAACGTAATCTTCTTATGCAGGGTGTAATTACAGTCAGTGTCATGAAACATAAAGCTGAAAGAGACAAATTTATGAACAATAATCAATAAAATACCATTGTCAGTTTTTAAAGATACCTTACCTGAACTGTGGCTTTAGGTGTTTTTCAACTATTTTCCTTGGGAGCACTAAATTGTAATTGATTTTAAATCTCGTCCAATATGTACGATCCGCTCTGTGGATCGAGGGCTCAGGAACTTCACACCCCTTGCATAGTAAGTGCAGAGGGATGCTTGCTCTTTGTTCCCCCTCACACAGAGAGCCATTTACGTCCGACTGCTCAGTGAAAGTCGGCCCAGCTCTTAAACAGACATGGATAGTTACAGGTGCATCTCAGTTTATTTGAATATCATTGGAAAATCAATGTTATAGTTCTTCATTTTAAAAAAGAGACACTTCTGAACAGCTGTGTCAAAAATACTTGCAGGGTTTTTAAAAAAAGAACCAAATGAAATGTAAAATCTTTGTAACGGGTTATTTCCATACATCTAAATTTATTATTCAGAAGTAAAGCAGTCTACATTTTTCTTTACAACCAACATATTTAAAGTAGCAACCGAAATATTGTTGAAAGTACAGCTTTCCAGTTAATCAACTAATATTTAGTTGTATAACCACTATTTCTGAAAACTACTGATATGTATTGCAAGGAGAAGAACAACTCCTGGCACCTGTGATTGGACTATATTGGACTATATTTTATAATTCTTCTACACTGCTTGTTATTTTTTCATAAACAACACTTTTGATCTGACCCCACATTGGGATGTCCACTTCATGCGCTTAATCTTAAGGATCTTGAACCAAGATCAGCTACTGGGATGTTTGGGGTCATTGTTGTTGCATTCACATCTGTCAAACAGATTCATCATGTTACAGATTCATCATATTTATGCCTTACAGTTAATGAAAGCCTCAAATGTAGTTTATTTATTTATTATTATTTGAATATTGTTTAGAGCCACTAAAACAGATTTTTAACATTCAGTATTTTAATTCCATTTATAGCTTCCAAGTCAACACTTGACAGTTCTCCATCAACACTCCCACAAAAGGTCTGCAAAAGGTCACTGCTATAATAGCTGTCTGTCTATAGAACGCAGTATACAACTTGAATGAAGGTTTAGTGGAAGGATAAAGTGTGATAGAAAAAGTGCACAAATAAAACCAATTCAAGAATTGGGCAGTTGCGTGAGTCAGTGCTGCAAGGGTCGCCTCGCATGGAGGGCATGGGCTACAGCTGTCACATTCCTTTTGTGTTAAATCACACATCAACCAAACACAATGTCAGAAGCACTAAGAGGGTGGATGGAGAAAAAAACCCAACATTCATTGATCAAAAGTTTTTTCAGGTCAAATACATTTAACATTTGAACTGAACATTAATGTCTTCAAAAGACACAGGATCATAGAAGTCCTGTGTGAAGTTTCCACACTCTGTCTGGATTTGATTTAATTTGCTAATTTTGGCTCAATGTGTTTGATCAAGTCCACAATTATTGCAGGGAAGTTTTAGAGCACCTCTCGCTTTACTTTGCTGAAAGGAGATAACTCTATACAGATGCTCATTTCCAATTAGTCTTAACATTCTGTATCTTAGAGAAACAATATTTCTCTCAAAGTATTTTATTAGCTTTAACACTTTTATTATTATTATGCTTTTTTATTAGCTTTAAGACATAATCAACTAAATGAACAAGCAAAAAATATATTAGCTGATAGTGAAGCTTATAGCTTCTATGTATCAAGCTTGGGGATAAATTAACATATTAACGATATTGTAATTTTACTGAAATACACCTGAATATACAGACAGTAGTGCTTTAACATAATAAAGTCAGATTAATCGTCTTGGCTTAATATCATTATAAATCTGTGGTAATGACTGAAACCCAGGCTACCCTTTAAACACTCATTGTCAGCATTCACAGCCAGAGAAGCACAGCAGATTAAATGCTGCTCAGGAGAAATCAACACAGGTCATTCAAGGGCTGAGTGTTTGTTTCACCGCAGCGCTCCAAAAATATAGACTTTGGAAAGAAAAGGAAAACAAACAAACAAAAAAAAAGAAACAGATGATCTGAAGACCAGATGTGTTCAAAGTCAAAGAGGTTAACACTTTTGGTGATTGTTACATCGCAGAGGTGACCAAAAGGAAAAGTGACAAACAAGGATCGAATTTCCCAATCAGCATCTTGAGCTGACCCTTGTTCCAATAAGCGCTGCAGCCAATAGCGTGAGCGCTTCGAGTGAAGGAGGTCGTCCACAAAGGCACTCATTTCACTAGGCTGTTTCATTTCGTGTAACAATCACTCTGGGCTATTTCTGGCCATTCTCTCGGCATTTAACGTAACAAGGAGGCAATTCCAATCATTTCCCTTCATCTCTATAAACAGTTATGAGGCTGTTAACATTTCCATTCTGCGCTTACCTTAAATTCTCATTTATGGTTCAACCAACACACACGCGCACACACACACGCACGCGCACACACACGCACAGGCACACGCACAAACAAAACATTAATTATCTTTGGGCTTTAAATAAAAACACACTGACCTCTTGAGTATGTTCTACATGGTCCCTTCTCCATTGACCACACAGCAGTGATGGTGATGTCCCTTCCTTAGCCGATTATTATTATTGTTGTAGTGATGATGATCGGTGTGACTGAAGCTCGGATCTTCCTGTGTGTCGGCAGCGATTAGGCTTAAATCTGCGTCGACTGCGCACACGTATCGCTTCTTCTCAGAGTATGGAGAACACCTCCTCTGGGTTGGAGGCACCATCCTTTAGCGGAGTCGACGAGGCTTTCACCGGATCAGTAGATGCATAATGTGCTTGCAGGGCTTCCCCCACAATCACACCAGGGACTCCATGTGCCTGATGATGATGATGATGATAATAATAAGAGCCGCTCGACGGGGAGCTGTCCAGGTGCTGAAAACGGGATGCCAGCGGTTACAGATGTGCGGTGGGAGAAGCCAGCGCAAAGGAGACTGGACACAATTCTCATTAAGAAGCCCAAAATGCGGTCGACCGAGTCATAAATGTCCATGATAAAGACACGGAGACGGCAATCTGCACGTCCCCGTTTCTGTGCCACTCTGGAAGCGTCGACGGAGGAAAGCGCTCTCGCTTCGCTTTACCTCCTGAGTTCCTCGCGATAACAACCCACCCGCACGGAAAAAAGAGGAATGCACAATGTTCAGGTACTTTAAATGCTTCTGTGGCGGCAGATAGAGTGTTAAACGCAGTCTACCAGTTTGCAGTCTAGCCGTTTGTATTTCTCTAAAAATATACATGCCATTACATAATAATAAAAAGGTCAGGTCATTTTATGAAGGCTGATAGTAAAGAATACAGTAAAAAACATATGTGTATGTTTTTGGGGATAAGTCTGTATCAGGTTTACACATAGTGGCTAAAATATGTACACATTATGTGCAACACTGGATGAAAAATATCTTTCAACATCTATCTTTCAGTCTCACCACAGATTCTCCTTTAGATTTAGCTCTGGTCCGGGACTGAGCCGCTATAACACATAAGTATGAACCATCCCATTTTATCTATATTTTAGAGATGTTGTCCTGCAGGACATACACTCAAGTCTCAACAAGTTTCTAATAGGATTGTGTTGTGTTTTGCTCAGTCTATCTTCTAATCCACTCTGTCTCACTTCCCTGACTCTGCTGAGGAAAAGCATCTTCTCACTGTGATGCTGCCAGTTAGTTTCAAAGCTCAGTATTGCTCTCATCTGACCAGAGTGCCTTCTTCCATGTGTTTCATGGAAGAAACACATGGTTTGTTGCAATCGGCAAATGGGACTTTTTTTTTAAGTAATTGCTTCTGTCTTCCACAAAGTCCAGGTTTGTAACGTGCACACTTCTCCCATTTCCAGTGGGAATCTTTGCAGCTCATCAGGCCTTAATTGAAGAATGCCAAGAAGAAAGCTATTTCTGAAAGAAAGCCAGCGGACATGTAGTTTGCCAGGAGTCATGAGGCGGAAACCACAAACATGTGGATAAACTCGCTGTTCACAAACAAGATGAAAGGTAATTGCAGACATACACATTGCTGAAAGACAGAAAACCAACAATGAATATTTTCTTCAACACATCACCTCCATCGTGAAGTATGATAGTGGCAGCGTCATGCTGAGACAAATACATTTTTTTAATAAGGAAGAGGAGACTGGACAAAGTTCATGGGAAACAGAGGGAGCTAAAAACACAATATTGTTTGAACAAAACCTGCAAAAGGCTGCAAAAGGCTCAATAATGGAAAAGAGATTCACCTGCAGGCAGGAGAACTACCTTGAACATAGAGAATATTTTGCTATGGATCCTTTGAACTGCTCCCAATAAAACTGTCATTTTATTTAGATAAATGCTACAGATGCAGATCAGTGGCCATAAATGACTTATATGTCTGCATATCGATACCCATCCAGCATTACTAGAGAACACTGATGCTAAGATTATGATTTGAGTGATATGTTAGTCAGTTGACAGAGCATCAAAGAGTAAAGGTCAGTATATAAATTTTAATTAATATATCAACATGAAATACACCTGACAGCTTAATAGGGGTCATGTCCCACACTCTGTGGTCCGTTGAGATTTCAAAGTCAGAAAGCATACAGGAGCACCAGAGAAAATAATGTAAATGTTGCTCAAGAAACCCCAGATTAAACATCGTAGAATTCTGTCACTATAGACAAGCATTATAGTGACAGAAACTCCTGTCACTTTTTTTTTTATCAATGCAGCTTGATAAAAAAAAAAGTTCGAAGCTAGATATCCATCCAGCATTACCAATACTGGATAAGTTCTTCCAACTTTTTCTTCTAAAGGATTCATTGTTTTTTGGAAGTGATTGCATTACTACGAAACTAAAAACCCGAAATCAAAACGTTAAAAGGAAAATGGTGCCAGGTGGTGATTCAGCTAACGGTTCTGGGTGAAAACAATTACTCGTCTGAGAAGCAATGCAAGATTTTCTTAGAGAAGTTCTCACGATGCCATTCATGCCTCTTCACATACCAGCAATTGTTTGCTTTCTACCAAACCCAGAAAGGCAGAGTTCCCCAGTCCATCAAATACTTCCCTGATCTATCCTCAGCCTAATGCAACAATTGATCTAAGCTTCAGCAAGGGAAAAAAAAATAAAACCTCTCTAGGCTACATATAAGGTCAAAATGATCCAACTCGACTTAAAATCTAAGTAATTCAGGGTAATGTTACCCAGAACAATGTAAGATACGAAGAGATGGCGAGGAAGTATCAGAGGGTTGACATTTCACTTGCCATTTAAAAAAGTGGACAAACTGCCCCTCCTGCATTCTTTTCAGCAAAAGCACGCCCACACGAGAAAACTGCATAGGTGCATGTACGTTCCGCAAAGATTTACCCCAGGAACCAGAAGCATTTAAAGCTAGGATTTCAGGACCTGGTAAAAGGGACGTGGTAAGTGACCCATTTCTGATAGAAACTAAACAAATTAAGTTTTATTAGGGATCTTTTGATTAAGTCATTCTTCTTAAGTATGTTGACATTTCTAAACTTTTACAAGTTTTTTGGGGGGCTAGTTGTGGAAACTAAACCTATGTTCTCTCTTAGGATAAACCACAACTAAAGCAATTCAAATGATGGCAGGTAACTCATCCTATCAATTGTGACCATTTCTAAACATGAAGGTGTGCTTAGAAATTTAACTAATCCTGTAACATTTTCAGTACATGGAAAAGCCTGTGGTCCTCAGGAAGCTACATTTTGCATGAACGGAGGGACATGTTATAAATTGCCAGCTATGGACGCACTCTCTTGCCTGTAAGTAAAATAATAATAAAAAGCACAAACAAATTGATTTTACCAGCCAATATGTACATGAGAAATATTACTAACATTTTCTTTTTTGTTATTACTTTTAAACACTTTGGCACTATAGTTGCAGTGAAGATTACAGAGGAATCAGATGTGAGCACTACCACCTTCCTAGTTCTTCTCAGGATGGATACGATAGAGGATTATTAGCTGCCATCATCATTGTAGCAATCATCCTCTTGGTGGTGCTGGTTGTTGTCATTTACTATGTTCAAAAGTGAGTAAATCGTATAGAACTATTTAAAGTTTAAGAGTTTTGTGCTGATGAATCTGAGCTCTAATGTGAACAAACAAAACATAAAATGTAAGCATAATTTTCTTTTTTCTGTGTACAGGATGGTAAAGGAAAAATCAAACCAAAGAAACGATGGCAATCAGAGGAAGAAGTTCCAAGTATGAGCTCTACTGCCTTAATGTACATGTTTGTGCATGTGTTTAATGTAATAATATATTATTTAATGTTGATGCAGTTAATATAGTAATTTAGAGGAAGATTCTGCATTTTTTAATGTGATAAAAATGTATTTAAGAGGTTTGGAATAAGGATTATTGGTTGGGAAATGAAGAACTTGTTACATCTTAATATATTTCTTTAAATGTTTGTTTAAATGTGGAATTGAGACAACCAAATTCCAAGTTGCGAAATCTCTGTAAAAAAAAAAAGCAAGCCATTGTATGTTTTTTTAAAAAGTCACAATTTAAAAAAAGGTACATATTTAGTTACATACATTCTTATTTTTGAGACATTGTATTCATACAACTGTTCCTGTCACACAGACTAACTATTTACAGCCTTTTGCTGAATGCAATCAATCTCTATTTAAAGTTTTGTCTGTTATTAAGCCGTATTGTGTTTTTGATGTTAACCATAGCTGCCTCTGGATGCATCTTAACTAGTGATCATAGTGATCTCACTTCCCAGAAAGCGCTTTTTAATTTCACCCATGGCTTTCCCAAAGCTGGAGAGGCAAGAACAAATGCAAATGGCAATCTTTGCCTCTGGTCTATATACCTTCATTGGTTCCACTAAATCTAAAACTAGTTGGAGATGAGGAATTTTAAAACGGTAACAGTGTTTGCTGGGTTAACAGACAAGTTACTCTTTTAGTTATATATTTGTAAAATAGATTAAGAGATAAGTTACTCTTTAAAATGTCTTCCATGGTTTAACAGTTATCTGTTAATGACTGAGGCCAATTTTTTATCTATAAGTACTTCATCACTATTCTACCAAGACATGTTGAGTTAGTTTTAACTAAAGAGCTGAAATATGTGCCGAGGCAAAGACTTTAAATATGGTATTTATTTCATTAGAACACTTTAAGCCTTTATTTGTGCAAAATATAATCATTATTTATGCTGCTGGTATATTTAGCTATAACATAGCATTTTAATTAGGCCAAAATGTTTTTTTTCTAGTTGAATTGTGAAGTGGTCCAACCACTATCCAAATAATTCCATTAACAGTAACTTAGGAGGGAGCTAACGATTAGGATGATAATAAAGAGGCCTTAAACCTAAAAGACCTAAAGCTCAGTACAAAAAGATCAATATCCGAACCGCTAAGTGAAAACAGTCAAAAATTTGTTTACCATTCAAGTGTTTGTTTGCTATGTCAATGTCAAATGATTTTTATTAAGGGTCAAGAAGAACATAAATATATAAAATTTTTGGGGTTAATATGTACATCAAATCTTTTTTTAAAAAAAACTGATACCCTTTGTACAATGTTTTATGTTTTAAAAGATGCAAGAAATAAAAGTCTTGGTGGAATTAAAAATAACTTTGGATCCGGGGCTTTACTATTTCTCCTTGGAGTGCTTCCACAAGGTGGTAGAACAGATTTCCTACAAAGAACAAACAGGAGCAAAACTAACATAAGTTTGGGTGCATTTCACTAAGTCTGAAATGTTCATACATTTGTAAAGCCAAGCAAGGTAATAGCAACGTAGTCACTGAGGAATTAAATTCTGTGACTCATTTCTACTTCTTTACGCAGATATTACAAACCTCTACTTCCTTGTGTATTCATTTGCATACATGAATGCAAACACTTTTTACAACATGCAAAACATTTTTAAATAAAATTAAAGCAACAGCACAAAGGAACATTTTTTTTTTAAATAATTTTTTTCTCCGAAGAGTTTTTGCGGTGCTAGTGGCTCGTATTTTCGACAGAAGGCAGACAGGAGAGAAGATATGTGGCAAAGGTCGCCTGAAGCAGGAGTCGAACCCGCGACGTCCGCATCGAGGACTGAGGCTTCCAAACGTGGGGCGTGCTAACCCCTGCGCCACAACACATCCCCAACGTTTTTAAATTATTTGCTGACAGAAGATTAAACAAGTTGTAAATAAAAAAATTAAAAAAAATACTCTCAATTCCTTAGAGTGAAAAACAAATGCATTATGAAATATCCTTAAAGTCGAAACCTGGGGCATTATGCACATATATATTAACATTTCAAGTACAGCTTAAAAGAAAAGTTTGAAAATAAAATGGTAAAAACGTGAGAAGTATAAAATAAACTACATGAATGGATGATATCTGACAGCTGTGATATGAAAACAGGAAAAAAAAAGCTTCACAGGTCTTAAAGAGGACCTGAGAGACGTGTCTGCCTCTTGCGTAATTCTATCTACCGATGTCATCCACTCACAGAAACTCCCAACAGGAACTGCTTCATTGCTTTCAGTGGGTGTGAAACCTTTCTTAAGAAAGGAAGTGAGGAAGAAAAACACTGAGGAATTCTAAATTGCACAAGAACTGAACTAAAAGTAAACTGGCTTCACTTTTCAGAATGGCAATAATTTCAAACATGCTGCTAATGCAATCTGCACACTTAAATTGAAAAACGAAAAAAATGCCAATGTCAGTTTGGCTTCTTTCGACCCAGACATTGGGACACATGACGTTAGCACTCTGGGATCATATTTTGGAAACAAAAACCCATAAAAGAATAATAAAAACTAGAGAAGCCTTTTAGAATCTCACTGTAGTGTAGAATGGACAACTTTCACTGAAGTCTGCTTAAAGAAAACAACCTTAAAAACCATTCAAATGTTTTGAGTTTTTGTTTTTTGAATTGTAAAAGATATTTTCCAATGAGATGAGATATGGATCAAGAGTTTTCAGCTGGATTTAAAAGCTCCATAAAAAAAAGACAACGCAAAAGAGGAGCTGAAAACACTGAAAACTGTGGCTGCACAGTTTTCAGTGAATTTTTATTGACATGCTCTCACACATTTCTAGCTTTGTCAAACCGATGAGCAATTTTTAGTGCAGTGCTATTCAGTCCCACAGACTGCATGTTCGTGATAATGGTGACCACCACCCCTTGAGGGAGGTAGAGAGTCCGTCCCTGGCGTTGGTCCATCTCATCACTGGGTAACACCAGAAGAACGCTGCTGGCCCCCACAGCTCCTCCTGTGTGGGACACGTAATGCCTGCGTTTCCTGCACTGACCATACTTCTGCAGCTTCTCCACCACCAGCCAGCCTTGGCCGTACAGTCCATCGTTATCCCAGGAGGCTTCTGTCTTGTCAACTGGTGTCCACAGCTCTATGGCTGATTTGGGTTTCAAAAAGCCAGGGAGCAACCCCTCCGTGTCCTTCAGGTGGGCCACCTGGTAGCTATAGAGCAGAGCATTGCCGAACAACAGCAGGTCTCCCACAGTGGAGAGGAAGCCGCCTCCGGCCCATTTGTAGGAGATGTCTACGTATGGGCAGTTTACAACTCGCCCTCGCTTGTTGAGGTGATAAAATCTGTGGAGGAACCAAGAAGCAAGAGAATTTTGGATTTTGATGCATTAATCAAAAATAAATAAAGTAAACTCAAATAACACATGGATTCATGTAATGTTTTGCACTTTTACATAGTATCCTAAGCTTTATCATATTTTATTAGTCCATGACTGAAGTAGAAGGAAAATCCAATCCTTTCCATACCGTTTTATAAATAAATACCTGAAGTGTGCGAGAAGCAATTTTTTCTACCCCTCAGTCAATACTTTATGGAAACACATTTTGACATAATTGCAAATGAAAGTTTTTTGAGGGGTTGCCAGCTTTGCACATCTAGAGACTGAAAGATAGTCCTAGTTTTTTTGGAGCTCAAGTGCAGTCAGATTGGTTGAGGAGCACATGTGGACATCAGATATCGACACTTATTCTCAATCGGGTTTAAACCCCAACTCTCAACATGGCATCAAACTAGTGAAGAGATGGACATGTATGTCTCATGCTTGTCACCAAAAGTGACAACTATTGTCTTACAAATCTACAACTAAAGAGAGACAGAAATATCAGCCAGTGATGTTCTTGCCAATTTATGTGGGCAGCCATGTCTTGGTATGTTTGGAATTGTGCCATTCTATATCTTTATATTGGCAGTAATCCGTGAGATGATAAAAGCTTGAGATAATCTGAGAATATACTGAAATTAAGTTGCAAGCAGATAGACTACATTTATGTTTATGGAGAAATATGTGAAGTCTAAAGGCTGGTTGGATCCTATTTAGGGTTATAAAGAATAAACAGGGCCGAATACCAATGCATGCCACATATTTGTAAACAATTTCAATCAAATAATTTTTATTTCACTCCTCAGTAATTCATTAGTTTGTGTAAAATCCCAGTGAAATACACTGATGTATGTGGTTGTGACATGAAAACATATTAAAAAAGATTAAAGAGGTGTGGATACTTTGCAAGGTGTTGTAGAGGACAGAAACAAAATATATATAAAAAAATATAGATTGCCTGGAGCGATGATATATAATTGGGTCATTCTCATCTGGAACCGTATTGTGCATTCCCAGCTCCCAAAACATGTTCTTCATGATATCCAGGAAGCGCTGGTTCGCAGCCCTCTCCAAAACAGCACTCAGCAGTGTGAAAGCGTGAGTGGAGTAGAGGAAAGTGGTTCCTTCAATCCAGCGAAAACATTATTCGAACTGATTAACATTGAAAATGTATCGTACAGAAATTGTTTTGTACAAAAATTTGCTTACCAGGTTTGAAAATGAGTGGGTCGTCCTTAAAAAGGTCCAGGGACTTAATAACGCTTTCATAATTGTCTTTTATGTAGTATTCTTCGTGCTCAAACTCCTTTTTCCGTTGACCCGGAGCGGATTCTTTACCTTTAGATGGTTGATTTCCTCCGGGTTTGTCTCTGTTTTCAGGTAAGCTCTTCTCCTCGTCTCTCTGTTTACTTGTGCCTGAATCAAAGCAGAAATGTAAGAGGAGGCCAGGCTTTTGCACTATCTGCCCCCAAAATTGAGGAGTAGTCTGCCCTTACCCACCTGGCAGATCTCTTCTCATTGAGTTAAAGAATGTTCTTTCTACACATTTATATGGTGAAACCGTTAGCACATCCTGAAAGGCTGACTGTTTTAACTATCTTCATTTGTGTATTTTAACTTATCTGTAGATCTTTGGTTGCTTTAAAATGCTTTATAGAGAAAAGTAGTAAGTTACCTGGATGCTTAAGAAGTCGCTTGGCTTTCTCTTTGTCCTCCTTAACTTTATTTGCATCCTTCTCGTAGTGCCTTATGCCACTTAGGTGTGACAGTATCATACGAGAAGTTATTGTAACCTGAAAAAATAAAAAAGCTAAATTTAATTTACCATGGCTAGCTGCAAGTATTAAAATAAGTCATTTTCCCATATCCATAAGTGACTTACATCTTTCCCATCAAACTGTTTCTGAGGAAACTCGGGCACGTATTTTTGGACGGGAGCATCAAGATCAAGTTTCCCTTCTTCACATAGTCGTGCGGCAGCTGCAGTTGTGAGGGACTTACTGATGCTGGCGATCCGCATCACCGTATCAGGAGTGCATGGGACACGATTCTCCAAATCAGCATAGCCAATGCCTGGATCAGATCAACAGCTTCAGTGATTGCACGGTGTGTAAAAGCATTTCATAGATGTGTCTACTGTGCAACAAAGCCTTTTACAGGCCAGATTAATGATTGTGCAAGACCTGCAGCGTCAGGTTTATTCAAAATCACCTTGATTTTGGTTTTGCTCTATCATTTTCCTTTGCCTTCTACATGCAAGCCAACTTCAATCTTTCTCCCAACTGAGACATGCTCTTATGTTAGCCAACCTTAGTTCAGCTTCATTAAGAACCACCATTAGAGCTTATATCAACACTTAGGCAGTTGTCCTCAAATCTAAGTTTCGTGTGCCATAAAAGAGACCATGGTATTATGTTCTATGCATTTCCTCCTTTAGTCAGACAAATACTCTGTACAATTTAACTGAAAACCAAATTTCTTTGGAAAAACAATGGCCATTTTGCATTATTGTGCACACAATTTACTTTGCTGAGACAGATTCTAATACAATTTTTGCATGCATTCAGCAGCAATGTTATGCCTTATAGTTATTAGGAACTGGTGCAGTGAAATAGTTCTTTTTGAAGCAGTGTGTTGAAACTAATGAAGGTACAGATAAGAGAGACTACTTCCCCATTTTTAAACAACATAAAAAAATACAACTTGCACAATATATTGTGCAAGCTCAGAAATCTTGACTTCATAATTTTAAATTTTCTCAGTGTTACTACTTTTTTAAATGGTAAAAAAAAGCATATTTGTCTCTGGTAGATGTGTGGAACTACCCTGTCATTTTTCTGTAACAAGGTAAAACAAAGTCCCATAAACTTGCTTCTTTTGTATTTTGTTCATTATTTGTTGGGAACACAAGATTAAAATTTAACACTCTCTACAAGTAAGCTACAAGGCATAATAAACAGCTGATTCAGCAATCAAAATTTAATCAACAGTACCTAAAATTCAAATACATGACAACAGGCCATCATTGGAGTTTTTATTGAATTTTCCCACAGTACAAGTTGGGACTGTATTTTTCAAAAAAAAAAAAAAAAAAAATCCCCCTGCAGTTATGTTAATTACCCTAACCCATTTATTAACCTTTGCAATGAACCTCAAGGCAAAAAAAAAAAAAAAAAAAAAAAAAAAAAAAAAATGTCCAAAGAAAATAGGTAATCATCTAGGAACAGAGTGGTTCCTCAGTGGTGAAAGCCATAACTTTCTTATATTATAGAAGATCTAGAAGAGGCAGCTATCATTTGACTGTTTCCTATCACAGAAAAATAAAGAAAATGTCATTCAGATACAAACACCCACAATAACTTTAAAACTTCTATTAAAAGATGCTACATGACCACAATGAACAAACACTGTGGTCATCATCTTCCAGCAGGTCATTGTCCAGCTGGAAGGTGAACCTCCACTCCTCCAAGAAGAAAACCTTTTCCACAGCATGATGCTGCCACCACCTGGTCCCTGCTGACATATATCATTAATCCCCAAAGAAATACACTAAAGTTTATACTTGCAACATGACAAAATGTGGAGATGTTTGACGTGCATTTGATAACAGCGCTCCTATTGTCACCATTAGAACTCTGTCAGCCAGTATGCAAAATAAAACCGCAACATTGTTGCCAGATATTTTGTTCTGATACATTTTTACTCTGAGTTGTAACTCCATGCTGGACTGTTTTATCACCCACCTTCAGACCACACTTGAACACCATCCACTGCGACCCCAACTATCAGTCCAGGAGCTCCGACCTCAGCCTAATAATAGGAGAGATAATTAATAATAACAACAAAGACACTAATAAAGTGTCTCGAACCAAGTTAGTTTCAGAGGCCTACCTCTTTGCCTACCTTTATCCGCTCTAGCAGGTCTCTGCTCACTTCTATGGCATTTGCGTACGGATGAGTCTTTTGTGCTGTTTCAACTTTATCATCACATGAGCTGTTTGCAGAGTCAGACCCGTATTTCACACCCACTGCTAAAACAATGCCCACACCAGCGCCATACAGCCACGTTCTGGACTTTAATCGGTGTATAAAATTGATTTTGCCACCGACGAAACGCGTCTGCGTCCGAATAAAAACACCTTTCGCCCGCGGTGTTAGGAAGAGAGACTCCGGTGCTGGGAGCGGGGAGCACTTGGCAGAAATACGACGATATAAAAACATTCGAAACATGATGGAGAAAAACGCTCCGCTTCAAATGTTTGCAACCGCTCGCATTTTGTCGTTAACTTACTGGGAGTAATCCTTAACAGTCAGCCGGTGGACCACATGGGAAGAAGAGGTGACAGCGCGGTGTGGGAGGAGTTTTCCTCTTAAATGGAGAGCAAAGTGTTGAAAACTACTCTTTACATTTTTTTTTCACATTTCTTTGCTCACAAAAGGCATCACTTAAAACCATGGAGAAATTAAGTATTATGTGACATAGTAACAAAATAATTATTTTTTAATGATCACATTTATGCAAAAATTAAGTTCAAACATGAAGTGAAGTAAGCGGCCAGAGTGAGTATACGACACTGACCTTTCAATATGTTAGATAACTTTGAGTGAATTGTGATTTAACCAAGAGGAGAATGTACACTCAGAGCATGCAATAAGTTGCTCAATGACCTTTAACCAGTGGCAAATATTGATGTTTTCAGTCCAGATAGTGAAAAGCGAACAAATTCTGCGCATCTCCGGTTTTCATTCGTTGCAGAAGTATGACAGGTGAAATTTTGAAACGGTAAAGGGGTGTTAGTGGCACTATAAGCTATTAGGTATAACATACTCACAAATACAGATCCGACTCCATAACGTTATAAATTACTTAGGATAACATTTTATTTTAATAAAATTTAAATAACTGTTCTCTTCATATCGGACATATGGTTCGTGAAGCTCCGTTTGAAATAGTGTGCAAAACCACGCCCACCCGGCTCAACATTTTATTTTCGCCGGATGAGAAATGGTGCAGATCCACTTACATACTTCCTGTTCGAGCAAACAAGGCCAACATAATCAAATCCCAACTCAGGCAAAAGTCGAGCGGAAGGTTTTGCAGAAGCGGCGGCTATCTCTTGAAATAAAAGTTAATGAAGCCATCAGTTTCATTTTTCCAAACATGAAAATTGTTTGAACATTCAGAATATTCTGCTCCACTCACTTAGCAATGAAGAAGAGTTCATTGTAATAGTTACTTACTTTCAAAAACATAGAACAAAAATGTAGTTATACTGGTAATAATGCCTTTATGTCTGTATTTATTGACAGATTTAGGTACTGCATTTCCCAAAATATAACAATGAAAAAATAGTAACTTTTATTTATATATATTTTTTTCACTTAATTATTTTCCTTTTCAAAAGTTTACTTTGTTTGCAATCCCTTTTAATAATTGACCAGTTTTTTTGTTGTTGTTGCATTTTTCCACTGGTATTTTGTTATTTTTGAAGTGAAAAGGCTTCTTAACATCAGTCTGATCTTTTGCTCCTCCCATATATTCTTTATCAGAATTAAGCTTGGCCTCTTGTTTGGTCACTCCAAAATATTTACTTCCAGTCTAAATTATTGGTTGAAACCTAATTCTGTTGACTGTAAAAAAAAAGGATTAAACTGTATTTATTAAGCCAAAGATTGTTTTTTAATTCACATTTAGCTTTATGTTATGGTGTGATAAAAACACACATCATGCACCACATTGTTGGAAAACTTTCAAAACGTGGTTTTATTTATAATCAATTTATACATTACAGATATGCTGCACATGTAAAACTTCTAATTTTAAAATAAAACTAAAATGATGCACAGCCAAATGACTGAAATTGTTTCAAGAATTTAAACCATAAAGAACATTAAATTTCCAAATACTGTAATGCACAATGGAACCAACAATACAGTAGCACCAGTATACATAGATAGGCAAAGCCTGTGTACAGTTATACTTGGGTGAAAACAAACCAAATAAAAAAATCCTTTATGGAAAATATCAAGTTTGACTAAGAGCAAAACATTTGCACTTCATCCTTGGTCTGTGCTTAAGATCAGCTTTATTGCAGATGTAGAAAACAGTCTCTATTACAAATTTTGCATACCATGACACCAGGTGAAATGTCAAAAACCTAAAAAAAACAACAAAACAAACAAAAAAAATTCTACAAACTTCATTGACTGAAAAAGGCAGAGGAAAAAATTATTTTTGTTTTATTGATAAAAAGGGATCTGGCTATGCTTTAACTCTCCTTAGCTCAGCCCCCGGGTTGAGTTCCGCTGAAGGCAGGACTGTGCAATAAAAATAGAAACTGGCTATTTTCTTCACCAGCTTTGGAGAGGAATAAGAAGATGGGGTTCTGATAAGCAAGGTGCAAATACAAAAAGCCAAACCACTACATGTGAGTGTGGGTGTGTGGAGGGGAACGGGTGAAAGATGTGTGTTCACAAGTTATTCAGTTCAATTAGAGTCTGGTCCAGCATCTGGTGCATATTCAGGTTTTCTTCTTTAGCTTGTGACAGTTTCTCTGTTAGAATATAAAGCAGACATTTCAATTCACAAACAAGGACAAGTGACTCAGTGAGTTATCTTTCATTAATAATCAAGCTGGCAACTCATCTAGAGCAGTTGATTATTGATTAACTTGCACAAAATCACAGAACTGACCAAACAAGAGAGACACAATTATGATATGCAAGCTACCATGCAAACTTATAGCAGAGCTCTGCTACAAGTACACAAATGCATCAAAAAATCTCAACAAACAAAGTTAAAATGTTTTTGTAATTGTGTTAAAATCTAAAACCCGAGTCACAAACTCCAGTCCTCAAAGTTTGGAGTTTATAAGTTCTGCAGTCGTTAGATTCCCCTTTGCTTTAGCACACCTAAATAAAAATAACTCCATCATTAGAAGGGCTGTTAAACCTAATTGCATGCTAAAGAGTCAGTTCAGCCATTTGATTCAGGTGTGCTGGACAGGGGTACCTCTAAAAATTGCAGGATAATCAATGACCTGAGTTTGAGACTCCTGGTCTAGAAGATTGTAGTATCAAATAAACATTGAGTCAAATGACAACTCAGACAGAATGAATTAAAACCACAACAAACATAAAGAAATAGGAAAATTAGTTCAAATAGAGTTTTAGATTACAAGCACCCAGTAACAAATTGAAACAACTTTGCGAAAATCTTTTGTTAGTTTTGAAACTATTGTCTACACTGGACTGCAGACAGTAAGAAAGGAATGTAGCACATACCCCTCGTGATGGTGCTACAAGATATAAACTAGAAAATGTACTGGAATTTAAATGATTTTTGAGAAAAACATTTACTAAATATTTTCTTCTTTTATAGTCTCTTCTGAACAGGTTATTAGGCGTTTTTTTTAATGAAATATTGCTGTTTAATTTTGCAGATTGAACACTCAAGTGAAAATATGTTCCATGTAAAGGTGTAATTCATATTCTCTTGATTATATCTTCAATTTTTTTTATTAAGAATGATCACAAGTATCTAAAGAAATATAGCTGTAAAAAATGATATCAAAATACTATTTCACTGCAGAAGCTAAATTTAGCTATTTTTTATGTGAAGTAGAGCAGTTGGATCCCAAGTATTGGATCAATGTCCCAATCAAGGTTCTTTAGTTGATCAGTCCCTAACTCCTGAAATGTTGTAGTGTTATCTGTCTGAAGCTATGAACTGAATGAAACAGACCCATAATCTGTCATTGTGTATTTATTCAAATTCAAAGACAGTCTTATGTAACACACAAAACCCATTTGTTGAGTTGACCAATAGCAACTTCCTTCAATTTTGCCATTACCAGATGAGGTTCCACAAGTCTTACATGTTCTTCTCTATTTGACCAAACTACACTTTTCTACAATCTTCCTGACAATGGCTCAGCAGTGAAGCTCTCCAGCTCTCAGATATTTCTATCAATTACCATCTATACTTCATTAAATGCATGCATCATTTACTACTTGGTTCAGTTTTCAGTCAAGCACCTGAAGTTGCTTTTGCTTTTATGCCAACAGCACCATTTTGATATTTCTTATACTTTTGCTTCACAGAACAAATAGTTAAAGAAAAGAATGGACATTAGTTAAAATGTATTAAATCACATTTTTTGGAAATAGGAGGTATAAGGTTTCATGAGATAAGAGAAAATGACTACCATTAAGGCATGATGGATTTGCTAGTGCCAGACTAGAAAGACAAAAAAGGGACAGAGTAAAGAGATACAGCTTACATAGAAGGAAGGATGTTTATTTTTAACAACGCAGGAAGATTCTAGGGTTCTGTACAAGTGATGGGGTGCAACGGACTTGACAATATGATGAGGAAAGAAAAGCAAAGACAGGGAGGAAAAGGAAAATGGAGAGAAGTCTGGAGAGAGCAGACAGGTTCTGCTCGGGCAGAAGGAGGCATCTTTGATGAGATGTAAACATTTTATCTGTGTGGAAGAAGAGAAGCACAGTGAACCCAAGGAGGTTGGTGTTTGGACCGACAGCAATAAACCACAACACACCAGAACCTGAGGAGTAACAGAGACACTACAGAAAAAAAACACAATGCACAATAAAATGCATTGTGTGTAGCTGTTTAGCAAAACAAACAAAAAGAGCTAGTGACTTGTTTTTTTAAGTGGAGTTATGCAGAGTATTTATAAGCAGTGAGTATCTTACACATAGCAGGCCGGAGTCACACTAATCTTAACTTAGCTGTCAATTTAACCATTGCGTTTCAATTGAAGTTGAACATTCCAGGTTAAAGGTTTGGAAGGTAAGAAACTACTTGTATATACTCCACATAAACTCACTTCAAAACCAAAACAATCCCACTGACTTAGCAAAACTGAGGGATCAGCCACAGTGATGCTAAACACTGACACAACTAACCTTGAGCTGGTACAGTGACAGAACGAAGGGAAAAATCATGAACTTACATGAGGCCTTTCTTCTAGTCAGAAGTAGACCATATTAGTAAAAAAAAAAACAAAACAGTAAACAAAGCAGAACCATCAACCATAGCCGTTAAAATGCCTTCTCTGTATAGTTTCAATAAGCTGCCTGGAAACTCTGTGATATTAACTAAACATCTTAAGAATTAGCCATTTTAGGAAACAAAAATGCAAGAGAACAGAAAAAAGTAAAATGTAAAAGACTAAATGTATTTTTCTGGTTCCTGCATTTTTCTGCCCATGCATAGAGTTACTTCAGTCCTGTTTACAGTAAACTGAAAGAGTGTGATTAGAAAAGATTTATAAAGGCAGACCATTTTGAGTCAGAATTATTGCAAACTGACTCAAATCACACGCAGATAAAGTTGGGAAATATCTGTTTTAGCACTTGAACTTAAAAATAAAGATGAGCTAAATCAGATAGAACAACTCCAGTGGATGAACATAATATGGATACAAAGTTGAACAGGCAGTCGGGTGGAGTGGTGAATGGGTGAGGAGCGTGACAGTGAAACAAGCAGGTGTCGAAAAGCATAAATTACATGGAAGTCATGTCGTTGAGGGCATGGTCCAGCTCCTCGCTGATGGCTTTGTACTTCAGTTTCTGGGAGTACAACTCATCTATTGGGTGGGGCCGAGGTGTGAAGGGAGTGTGCAGTGGAGGCAGAGCAAAGGAGGTGGAAGGAGGAAATGAAAATGAGGCAAAAGGTGGAGGATCCAAGTGTAGAACATATAGAGAAGACAGGAGGAGAAAATGGAAACAATCAAAACATGAGTCCCTGGAATGAGTCCCTTCACACTTCAATTGGAATCCAAACCCCTGTCTTATGACAGACAAGATTTTTTGAGAATTAAACAAAGGCTGGCTGTTAGCAAACAATTGGAGGATGCTCAAATGTACCTGATTTTAGCAATAAAAAAAGAAAATGCTTTTTTCCACTTGAATGCACTGCCAGTTTATAAGCATGGAAAGTACCCCTGGTTTTCATAGATGTTTTTCCTTAGGTATATACATTAAATTATGTAAAGTCACTGTACAAAGACATATTTATGCTACATGGAAGAGAAAACTCACTGGTAACACCTTCACACAACCTCCCTTTAAAAACATCCAAATATCCTTTTAACTATGAGGTAACATCTACCCCTGCTTTCAGATTTAACACAAAATGATGTGTTACCACAATAGATGATTCTGCCTGAAATAAAGACTTATTGTCGTTAAGAACACAGCAGAATAAAAAGGAGATTGACACACATTTAAATGACAACAGGAGGCTAAAAAAATTTAAATATATTTGACAAATATATTGCAACAAAAAAGCTCACCTTCCAAGTCATCAATGGTCTTCTCAAGCTTGGCTACAGATCTCTCAGCGAACTCAGCACGAGTCTCAGCCTGAAATGTAGAGACAGGTCTAGTCCAACACTTGAACTGTGATTTAACACCTCTGGTTTGGTCATCTCAAAGTTCTAATTAGTGAAACTTTACCTCCTTCAGCTTGTCGGTGAGGACCTTGATCTCCTCCTCATACTTGTCTTCCTTCTGTGAGTACTGTTGAGCGGAAATAGAAACAGAAGCGTCAAATATAAGAGCTTAAATCTACTATCCACATTCATAGAAAAACGTATTAACTGAAACTTAAAGACTTGACTCCTCTGTCTCCCCAGTTCGCAGTCTTGAAGCAGAAAAGGTGTAACAGCATGCAGAGGCCCAGAAAGTCATGCTTACCTTCTCTGCCTGGGCCTCCAGTGACTTCAGGTTGTTGGTCACAGTTTTCAACTCTTCCTCAAGTTCAGAGCATTTGCTGGTGTTTTAAACAAGAAGATACAAAGCCAAGGATGCAACGAAGGATAAGGCAGGGGATTTGAAAATAAAAAAGGGTGGGAACAAGGATGGAAAGAAGCACAGGAAGACACAGAATGGGTCCATGGGAAATGAGACAGATGGAGAAAGGAACTAAATAAGAAATACAGAAAATTCCCAAAAAACATAGAAATGCCTCAACAGAGCAGTAATGTGAGTATAGCGTACTGAATTTAGTAGTGTAATTATGAAATCAATACCTTGCATTTAAGTGTCATGCAGTTTGTTTTGAAGTTATTCTTGCTCAGTTTTCTGCTGTGTTAGGCGTTAAAAAGTCTAAAACATCCAGGAAAAAAGGCGTGAAAGGAACAAGCACAGAGGGAAAGCAAATGCAGCAGGACAGGCGGTGAGACAAGCCACTCAGTAATCACATTAGGTTGGTTATACCTGTATGACTGAGGAATTTAGCGATTTGAGGCTTTGTTCCAATACCCTTAGCTCGTCCTCCACTTTCTGAGCGCGTCTGTTAGTGGGCGTGGCGCACGTGCACAAGCCACAACCATTAATACGGAGATGGACATGCAAATGACAGTAAGAACACAGTGCACACTGTCTAAATGAAAACAAGTCCTGTAGTGTGGGTATTAATACAGAAAGCTTTTTAAAATGTGAACATTCCAGCATCCATGCATGTGTAAGTGCAGATTCAGAACGCAAAAGAGTGAAAGCACTCACCTTTCTGACAGCTCAGCGCGCTCCTCTGTACGTTCCAGGTCACCCTCAATGATGACCAGTTTACGTGCAACCTGGGGGTGCAGCGCAACAAAGTGTTAGGCTGCAAAACAACAGCTCAAAAACAGTCATAGAAGGTAAGGATTGCTGCAAGCAAGTATGCAGTTTTTTTCAAGAACTCGCCTCCTCATATTTGCGATCTGCCTCCTCAGCAATGTGTTTGGCCTCTTTCAGCTGGATCTCCTGGATCTCCATCTTCTCCTCATCCTTCATGGCCCTGTTCTCAATGACCTTCATGCCTCTGTGTGATGATGCAGAGAGATTGGAAATTAGGAGTTGAACATTGATACCATGAGGCACCATGAGCTGGTTTGGTTCTTAGCAAATATTTTCAAACCCATTGAACTTTCTCACATATGTGTGGTCATATTCGAACCACAAGCCTAAAAATAAATGTCTGAAAAGTGTGACGTGCTTTTGTATTCAGCCACTTTACATAACACTGTACATAACTGTACATAACTCTGAAAATGATCGTTTTCATTACAATTCACAATAATTCAAGACATGTAGTTGGTTTTTGACATTAAATATTAATAAAGCATATTGATTTTTGTAGTTGTAATGTATAGAACAGCATAAAGTTCAAGGGGTATAAATATTCACACAAGGAACTGTAAATGTTTTACTTTCAATCCCTACAGATAGTTGATGACGTGGTGGCTAATACTCTATATAAACAGTATGAAAACAAGGCAATGCCCAGAACGTATTGTCATGTGACATGGGATTGATAAAACAGTCTAAGGGGAAAAACAGGAGCCACCTCTCGCTCTCATCTGCAGCCTTCTCAGCCTCCTCCAGCTTCTGCAGGGCTGTGGCCAGACGCTCCTGAGCACGATCCAACTCCTCCTCAACCAGCTGGATACGTCTGTTAAGGGAAGCGACATCTCCCTCAGCCTAGGGACAGAACAAAAGAGCAGCAGATTAGGACACTGTAGAGAGCTTCACCTCGTACCCCGGACACAGACATTACACATCAGCCCAAAGGAAATATGTGGTAGATTTATGAACTTATCTTGATGTGCAAGAAGCAATAATGATCAACTATGTTGACATGATAAGCAAGCTGGAAATTTTGGAAGAAAAATATTTGAGATTTGCACTTTTCCAGGCCAATACAAATTAAAATGTTCTCCTAATACTAAGAAATAAAATAGAACAAATGCTGTTTTGAAGCATTTGTTCTATTTTATGAATGAAGAACATTATCTCCATTCATAAGTCATAGAATATCCCCAACTTTTGTTATATATATATGTTTGCACTCTTTGACTTCTCAATCAAAGAAAAAAAAAGTCTAATTCCAACAAACACAAATCTGGTTGATCAATGTGTGTGTCTGTCTAAATTTTATTTAAAAAGGAGAAGACTGTTTTGTTGTCATCAAGGCTTGCTGCTCACTTCTGCATTCTGCTATTTGCTCAGCAGGTATGAGGCTATTCTTGAAATGCATTATGCATCCACCAGACCACAAAAGTCTTTGTTTTTTCCAGGCCATTTCCCCTGCAGCTCGAGTCAAAACGAGCAGCGCAGGTACAACGTGCATCTCAAGTTTAGAGACTGCAACAAGTAAGGAACTCCCTTCATTACACCTGAGTAGGCTACGCTCTGACGGCTGAGTCTGTGTAAAACCATCCAGTCCCCCTCATTTCTATCACCGCTATGCTCAGTGGCAGTGCAGCCTCCTGCCCTTATATGGACAAGTAAAAGAGCACAAGCTGACAGAGCAGGATGGCACATTAAATGTTACTACAGTTTAAGCAGCTACTTCCTGGTGTTTTGGATTTTATTCAAATCTTTGGCCTCTTGGTCCCATTTTTAGAAAGCAGGTTGCCTGTAACAGGGAAGTGCTTGAAAGTGGAGCTAAGAGATGAGGCAACGCAATGATACAACGTACCACACTGCTCAACTGTCACTGCACCATCAACGGCCTAAAGCCGTCAATTACGCGCACTCGGGATTTCAAACCCTCATCTGTGACTTAAAGTGACACAGCTTGGAGTAGAGCAAAGCTCAGCTTATTGCACTGCGGGACACCCAGATAAATCTTAACTATCTCACAACCAGAACACTTTTTCTCCCTACTTTTTAAAACTACTCATAGACGCGTAGGAAATGCTACTTGAGCAATGCCTCTTTTAAGCGCTTGATGCGCATACGCGCGGTCAACATGCTTACTTGATCTTTGGCTTTCCTCTGTGAAAGCAGTTCCTTCTGTAACCTCTCGGCTCTGTCTTCAGCACCGTCAACCTGCTCTTGGAGCGATTTGATCCTCCGTTTGACCGCGTCCAGAGATTTAGCTCCAGCCATTGCTGTTATTATTATTTATTTAGCAACGAACAATTGTTTGAAATATCGGAGTCTGCCTCGGAGATGCAGCGACTTTCTGACAAATTGTCAAGAGACGGGATGACGTCTTTGCAGCGCGCAGTCAGAGACGCGCTCTACAAAGCTTTTTTTTTTTTTTTTTTTAGTCCAGGAAGTCAACGCTGATTTCAACACACGTCTTTCAAAAAAGAGATAAACGGGTATTCTGCAGTGTCGTGCAAACTTCTGAACGGAACAAATGTTTTGCACCGAACAACAACAAAAAAAGTGATAAAATGCGACAGCTTTGAACATAAAACAAGATAGTCAAGCGACTTTAGTCCCAAGTGTTTGAATGCAGTTTAATTGAATCAAGCAGCATGACACTGACCGACCTACAGCGCCCTCTGCGGACCTAACGGGAGCAGTGCATGAACTATTCTGAGGCTACAAACCGCTTCTGAGTTTTTTTTAATGAAGCCCAGGATGCTGTGATTACAGGGTACAAGTATAACGCTTTAAAAATATGACAGACAAAACCTACAGCTACAAAAACAGATCACGACTCTGAATTCATTTAATAGCTCACCCCATAGGACCCCCACCCCCTCTAAAAATAAATATCACCAATTTGATTTGCATTTTAGTTAAAACTAAAAAAATTAAATCCTTGCATGAAGTAAAATAAGATAGCAATGTTTTTTTAATTAAAAGGTTTTTGTTTTTTTATCTTACTCTAATTTCAGGAATCCAGCCTGAAATAAACGAACGGAATTAGAGCGCCATCTGGGGGCTCACCGTGAGCAGTACATGTATTGCAATGAAATGCTTTTAGGGTTCAGACGGTTTCAGCGTTTTTCCTGAGCTCAAACTGCACTAATTACAGAGTCAGTTTTTGAAACATTTTAAATATCTCTAAAATGCCCCCAATAAGTGACACAGCTCTACGAACAAATAAAGTTTGGGGTAAAAATCCAGGCACAAATACGCCACGCGTCACCTTGAAAGCACAATCACCACCAAATAATACAAGAGGGTAAAACTCAAAACACTGACAGACTTTGTCTTAATTCCCCGTGTGGAATCCAATTAAAGGATTATTCCAACGTGTTTCCCCCCTCGGTGGCTCAATGCAACCTAATTGACTTTTAGAAGTATAAACTTCTCTTGTCTGCTGCACTAGGATCTGGCCGACACCCAGTTTTTGTCATTAACCGGGACCATTGTCAACATGTACCTTCTGTCACAAACTACACACCAAAACTGAAATACAACGAAGAGATGAGAGAAAAAAACCAACAAAAAGGTGTTTAATTATTATTATTGAGTCCTACACGCTGTCTTGTACTTATTTGAGTGGGAAGTGCATTTTTGTGTGTGGTAAGCAGAAGAGCGCAGCCCGCTGATCTGAGCTCTATCTTGACCATATAAAGCAGTGGGCTATATTTATCTAGGCGCTGCCTCTGCGAGCTTGGGAATTCTCCACATTAGAGCTACAGGCTTCACTCACTGGAAAAAAAAAATAAAAAAAAAAAAAAAATTGGGAAGATTCAGCTTATTCCCGAGCATTACTGGTGGAATTCAACATGAAAATCCTCACATGTGTATATTTTTATTCGCGACCACATATTTGTCTTTCTTTGGGCTGACGTGAAAGTGATTTGTGAATAAACATTCAGCGACAGTTCAACATACTACAAAATATAGGAAATGATGGATAAATTATGCATTTTCAACTCTAGCAGTGGTGCCAAACGCACCACCAAACTCTTGTCTGTGCTGCTGAACTGTCGCCTTCAGTCCCAGATGAGAACAGTGAAGATGTGAAGCAGCGTGGTGGGAGAAGGGGGGCCTCTGTGAACACCGGTCCATATACTTACATCGGTGGCTTTCTTCTCAGCCAGCTCAAGCTTCTCCTGGGCATCTTTAAGAGCCTCAGAGTACTTGTCCAGCTCATCCTCAGTTCCCTTCAACTTCTTCTGCAGAGCCACCAAGTCGTCCTCAAGCTGATTTTATGTTATTATTATTTTTTCATGTGCAGGAGAGGTTCAGAGGTGATCGGCGGAGAAAGGGAGTGGCGTGAATGCGCAGGGGCGCAAGAGCGCACACGGAGAGACGGGACAGGACAGGACAGGACAGAGAGAAGACAGGGGGAGAGAAAAAGAAGTTAGGTAAGCTCATGCAGTTCAGGTTCAGGTACCTTGGTAGCGGTCTCTTCAGCAGTCAACAGTTTTTCCTCAGCAGTTTGGAACTCCTCAAAAACTTTATCTCTTTCGTCCTCTGTAACACGCAATTTCTTTTCCAATTCTCTCATTTCTTCCTCTAACTACACATGCATGCAAAGAAATTATAAAGTTAAGCAAAAAATATAATATACACATTTTTTCTTTTTTTTTTCTGCTTTTACGCTTAACTAGCAACAGCTACAAATCCATTCTAAATAATGATCCATGGCTTTTTTTTAGTGCTGCTCCTGGACTTTTCCTGCGTTTACATCAAACATTAAAAAAAGTGAAGAAAACTCATCCGACCTGTTTGCTTCTGTCCTCCGCTGCTTTCTTGTCTGACTCGGCCTGCTCAGCTCTGTCCAAGGCATTCTCCTTGTCGAGCTTGAGCATCTGCATCTTCTTCTTGATGGCATCCATGGCTGCTTATTTGCTGTGCCTCAACACCGACCAAAACGTCCAAAAGGGAGAGCAGGAGATGGGGCTGGGGGAGTCTGTGCCTGACTGAAGGCTGGGGCTGGACTGCGGGCTCTGCCTGACTTCGTCCTGTCAAATATGTTCTTCCAAGGAGGGGTGACTGGATTCCTGAGGACATCCAATACTCTCTGGAGGAGGCGTGTGCGAGGGGAGCTGGGAGGTTTTTTAAGGAGCTGCTCAGCGATTCGAACTTCCCAAACATTTGACTTTTGATACGTCTTTATATGGGAACTCTAAGCAGACAGGCTCCGGGAAATTTACTTTGAAATGCTACTGTTTTTGACGATGTCTGGCATAATCTTGGGTGAACATGTTAAAACCATTTATTTCCGCCGTTTAGAGAAGCTTTCAGCTGTTTGTCTTTCTTAACCACTTTCATCACTCTTTACAAAGGGGGGTAAATTTGTCATTGTAAAGTCGTTTTTCTAGTGAATTCAAGGGATTTCAGTGATGCCAGACTGGGACTATGGATCCCAAACGACACTTAAAACAGTCCGACCTGAGTTTTCTTTGCTTTCCGTCTCCTTTTGAGCAAGAGTGTCCCCAGAAAATTATCTAATAATCCTGAGGGTGGTACATTAAAAAGTAAAAACCATCGACATTTTCTATGCTGCTTTTATACAGATACATCTAAAAGAATAGACAATCATGTAAAAGGTAATTGTTTTGGTAATTACATAAAAAAAATGAAACCCCTATCTAATAAAGATTCATTACACACAAATAAGTGTATTTCTAATTTCTGTTAATTTTAGTGACTGATACTTTAGAGTTATTGAAAATCCAAATTTATGCTTCTCAGAAAAGTGGAATATTACAGAAAACAAAAGGATTCTTAATACAAAATATTAAGATACGCAGTCATAAGACTGTTAACTTGACAGCTGTTCTGTGATAATATCTCACCCTTTGCACAAAGAGTGTAAGCCTGGCTATACATAGAAGGTTTTACCACAGGAAAGTTGAGTGGAAGGAAAAAGTGTGGTAGAAAAAATATGAGAGAATTGTGAAATGATGCTCAGTCAGGAGTTTGGGAAAGATCTACAAGAAGCAGAATGTTGCCAGAGTCAAGACCCACCACACAGAGATGTATCCAGGACATGAGCTAAAACTGTTGCGTTTCCTGTCTTGATCTAATGTCAAACCTGAGACTTCAAAAGTGCCTGATGTGGGCTAAGGAGAAAAACTTCTGAACTGGTTCATTGAAATCCACATTTTTTAGGGATAAGTTGCTGAGCGCGAGTGTGAAGATTCCACAGTCATTTGCTGGTGCTGGTCCGCTGTGTTTTCTGAAGGTCAGTGTAGCCATCCACTTTTAGAGCTCTAATGCACCACTCTGCTGACAAGCTTTATGGAGATGGTTTTATCTTCAAGCAGGATTTAGCACTTGTCCACACTGCCAAAAGTACCAATAACTGCTTTAATGACCATGGCATCAACATGCCTTATTAAACAGAAAAGCTGTCTGTCATAAACCTCACTGATATATTTGAATTGAATTACTGAAATAAATGAGCTTTCCAGTGGGGGCTACCAACACATAAATAACTCAGCTTAAAATATTGGACTTAAGTCTAACTATATTAATTTGATAAACTAACACATTTATAAATAAGTCAATCAATCTGTTTGTGCCTCATTGAGACTCATTTCTCCTGTATTGATTTAACGTAGAATACAATATAATTCACATGTTTGGATGGGTTATAGGGGTGGCCAATGCCTTGGTGGCACCACTGTGTCTGAACACATCTGTGTGGTGTTGGTAAGGGACTGGTAAACAGTGTGGAGTAAAAGACATGCTTTCTGTAAGTGTATCGACACCTAGGTGCATTGTTTGAAGTCACTGGAGCTCAACACAACCAAGTGTTTACCTGAAATTGTATCAGATATCAGTGAGGACAAGAGGGAGCTTAAACCTCAATTACAGCAGCTTAGTCTCTAATCTGTCTGTCATCTGGGAAATGTTAACTGGTATTCATGCTGCCAAATGAGAGTATTTGATTATATATACACACACAAAATAATTAAAATGATTAAGTATGCATCAATAGAGTTCGAAATGCATTGATTTCAGATCCCACCTGCTTAGCTTTAATAAAATATATTTAAAAACTTAATTCTGAGGATTAAGGATACCCCAAGTCTCTTCTAGTCACCAGAAGGATCCTTAAGAGTATTTTTAGGACTGCCTTCTCTTTCGTGCACCTGCCTTGGTCTGTAATCAAGACTTTAGACATAGTGCCAAGCGTTCTGGATCTAACAGCATTAGATAGCGCTCCTAAAATATTTAATGACCTGTTCAGACTAAACTCAGTTTTATAGATTATTTTGGCAATTGTACTCAAACTAGTAAAGGATTAAATGAGCCTGTCCCATCTTCAGACTTTAACCAAGAGAAAGAAAATGCCATCATTTGAGACGAGGGGTGGAGACTGAATATAGGATGTCATCATATTGGTTTGGTTTTCTCCTGCTAATTTTAGTGTTGCTCTTTTGGATATGATTGAGAGACTTTGTGGCCGAAGAAAAAATTATGAGTCCATGTTTATGACATTTACTTTTCATTAACCTCTGTTGACAATGTATATTTTAAAAAAAAATCTTTTTTTAAATTTTCTTTTAAAGCTTAAATAACTCGATTTGAATAAATATTAGGTAACCAGAACTTCATGGAGCCATCATTTTCATGTCTAAATGGTCAGGGTGTTAGACAAAGCTATGAAAACAATTTTGTCCTCTTCCATGATTCTTCTGTTTTTGCTATATTTTGTCATATATCTGAGGACATCACACAAATAATTAAAATTTTTTGTTTGATGTCAAACAAATTTTTATTGGACCACAATAAGTTGAGTAAAATGTGAAAATGTAATTACTTCAATTTTATATTTGTTTCCACCTTTTCACCTTTGACATAAAGGTCAAAGGTGAAAGTTTTTCACAACTCGCAAAGAGCTGTAGAGGAATTTGGGAGAATGTCTGTTAGAGCCACACTGCAGGATTTTCAACCATGAATGCCCTGTCTACGGTCAAGCCACTGCGTCTCAATAAGTTTTAAGTCCAGATTTTTACTAGCTCACATATTTTTTTTTCTGAAATTATGTTTCTGAATAAAAAAAACCCACCAAATATGGCAGGGCACAAAAGTTATATTTTTGACTGATCATTACACATAATATTTTTTTTCTGGAAGTCTAGAGAAATATTTGAATTTTTAATCAAGAAAGGAGGACTTTGTGTTTGCTTTGGTCAGCAATGGACTGGAACTCTCTCACTGATGTTATTATTGTATAATTTCTTTTACTTTCGAATCAAGAACACTATGGATGGCAGTGCATTGGATGATGTTTTGGGTTCTTTGTAATGTTGCTCGTGTGGCCACTCAATTTGTGGATATTAACCCTCAATATGGTTCATGTCAATCTCAAAACCTTAGAATTTGCTTTATCATTCTTTTCAGACTGATAAATGTCATGAATTTTGCTTCTCATCTGTCCTTGAACTAGTTTTAGGTCGGGGCATGATGTATTGCGTTTTAGCATCTTTTGAACTACTTTCTGTTGTCAAACAGGTTCTGTTTAGTTTATTTCTTTACATTCTCAGTGGTAGCTTTCAAACTTGAGTAAAGTTAAAGTAAATTTTCCAAAAGTGTGGTTAATTATATCTATTTTAAAATTTAGCAAGGGTGGAAATCAATTGCATTTTTGTGCTAAGTAAATAAAGTCAGAATTTGAAAATGTTTATTTTCTCACATCTCGAAAATGTTTGTACAATCAAAACACTCTTTTAATCTTTATCACACAAATCAGATGTTGCCTTGTAAAATGCACAATATACTTTTTGGATTTATGACAGCTAGATGTTCATACTTTAGGGTAAAACACCCAGCAGCATGCTTTCAGTATTAGTTAAACAAATAAAAGGCAGTCTGCTGGAACTTAGTTATCTTAAAAATCTTTTATTTAAAATTGTTGGATGGATTTCCTGTGGCACTTTGAGAAAGGAAATGAGCCATGCTGTGTGTTCCTGCAGTACATTAGCACAGTGAATAAAGCACAGGGTCTATTATAGTTTGGAACAACATTCAAAGACTGCTGAAAATGTACTGAAAAAGTTCCATGATACATTCTTTAGGAAAATGTGATGAAAATAAAAAAAACTAAACTAAATAGGTCATAAATTTGTATTCTTTCATGTTATTTTGTCCTGCACATTATGAAAACAGCATAAATTCCTCCAATATTTAAGGCTCAAGGCCTTTAGGAAAGCCACAACCCAGCCAAAAGACTTATTTTTCCCTGCTGCTGAAAAAAAAAGAAAAGTTCTTGACATATAATTTTGTGGGGGAAAAAATGTGCCTCACAAGCACTTTGTGGCATTCCACTAGATCAGACAATGACAATGAAATTAAGCTACAGTTTGGTTCATTTAAACTGGAATTAAAACAATGAGCCACTACCAATTAACACCAACGGATTTTTTTTGGGTGAAAAATCGAACACTTCTCATGTTTCCAAGAGCCATTAATCTCTGGAATAATGTTCCCCTTTAAACGGAAAATTCAGCTGAGGGAATATCCCAGTTCGTTTCTCTCAGTTTCATTTTTGATCAACTTCCAGCCTAATCTGAGGTTTTGCAGTGGATCTAAGGTTTCTCTAACATGCTGGAATTTTATTTACCATTCTGAAGTGGGTCAGCAGCAGAGTGGGACAGGTGCAGCAACAGGTAAAAGAATGCACATTAACGGTGTTATCATTCCCAAAACTTTCTCAACCATGCATAACTTTACTGCAAACATGCTTATAAAAAGGGTTGTTGAAAACGATGGCATCCAGAATCACTTGGGCACAACACTGTGGTCACAAAATATATAGTTGTATTCTGAGTCAGAGTAGATGTGAAAAGCCAAACCCTAACCCTAATCCTAACCCAAAGGGATAGTGGAAGTCTTTCTTTTTAAAACCAAGTGTTAACTCTTAAATTGTAATAATGAGACAGTGGTAGTAGTAAAACACATTATCTTTCCAGACAACAAATAGCACCCTATTAAAATGCCTCATTAATTTGA